TTTTTTTTTGAGACGGAGTTTCGCTCTTGTTACCCAGCCTGGAGTGCAATGGCGCGATCTCGGCTCACCGCAACCTCCACCTCCTGGGTTCAGGCAATTCTCCTGCCTCAGCCTCCTGAGTAGCTGGGATTACAGGCACGAACCACCATGCCCAGCTAATTTTTTGTATTTTTAGTAGAGATGGGGTTTCACCATGTTGACCAGGATGGTCTCGATATCTCGACCTCGTGATCCACCCGTCTCGGCCTCCCAAAGTGCTGGGATTACAAGCTTGAGCCACCGCGCCCGGCCTGTGATGTTTTCTTGAATCATGTGCTGACCCAGAAATTACCCCATTTTCAAGTCACAAAGGAATTATCAAGTGTGATGGGCCTAGGGTCATGTGAAGGTTATGGCCATTCTTCCACAGAGTGTCAAAGTACAGAAAGTTTTTTTGAAATAAATAAAAACAGCCGACAAAATCTCAACCATTTCATTCTTATACGGTCTTAACCATCATGTATGACTCTCTTCACTGTTTGGTGAATAAAGGGGAAACTGCTCTTACTCTCCAGGGGTTTATAAACTCATAGGTGGCAACTGTATCCTAGAAGGTAAAACTCAGACAGCCAGCCATTTGGCAGCAGTCCGTGGAGCAGGCCGGCAGGAAGATAAACAATTGCTATTAGACCTGGGACTGTGGGAAGCAAGGAAACTGGGCTTTGCTTTGGCAACCTTTTTATGGAAGACTGGGAGGACTTAAAGCTCCCTAGTGAGTTTAAAGTTTGGCATTATAAGAAAAGCCAAAAAAAACAAAAAAAAACTTAAAAATAATTAGGAATAAACAAAAAAATGTTAATCTGAAAAAGAGTGTGTTAGGATTCTTTTCATTGAGAAACGGTCAAACTGGCATAAACATAAGAGGGTGTTTATTGGCTTTTGTATCCAGAAAGTCAGTGGGTAGAGTACACATGGGTCCAGGAGCTGAAAAGATGCCATCAGTTCCCTTCATCTTTTCCCTCCCTCTCAGCTTGGCTCTCCTCTGTGTTGGTGTCTTTTTTTTTTTTTTTTTTTTTTTTTGAGATGGAGTCTCTCACTGCCACCTGGGCTGGAATGCAGTGGCACGATCTCAGCTCATGGCAACTTCTGCCTCCCAGGTTCAAGAGAGTCTCCTGCCTCAGTCTCCTGGTAGCTGGGATTATAGGCACCCACCACCACACCATGTTAGGCTGGTCTCGAACTCCTGACCGTATGATCCCCCCACCTCAGTCTCCCAGAGTGCTGGGATTACAGACGTGAGCCACCTCACCCAGCTGGTGTCGTCCTTGGGTGGCCACTGGCAGCTCCAGGTTAATATATTCAACAGGTGGTGGGGAGGGGAATTTATCTTTCCCTAGTGTATTGTCAATGTAGGAGTCAATGTAGGTTTCAGGCTCGAATCTCATTGCCAATTCTTGAACCAATCATGGTAGGGGATGGGATGGAAGATCCTAATTGGCTAGCCTGGGATACAAGTTCACACCTGGAGGAGAAGAAAGTGGTATAGTTAGCCCATTCCACATAGACTGAGAGCAAGAAAGGGATATTTCCCCAAAAGAACACCATGGTGTTGTTACCAGACAAGAATAGATGCTATGTATAATTACATGTCTGCCCACTACAGAGAGAGTCCAGAGCTCATTTGGCCAGGATAATATGTTCACAGAAGTAAATGACTATTCTTTGCTAGAGACTAATGAAAGAAAATAGGAATAAACAATAGCAGGAGGGACTTTAGTAATACGTTTCAGAAAAGCTAGAAATAAGTCAAAGTTTTATAAAGCAAATCCCATTTTTCCACTGTTTTCCATTGCAAAGTCGTGACTACATTCCTAAAAGGAAACATCCACCTGATTTTCTGAGTTGAGAACTTCGGATTTTAGAAAGTAGTTACGGGCCAGGCATGGTGGCTTACGCATGTATTCTTAGCACTTTGGCAGCCTGAGGCAGGCGGATCACCTCAGGCTGGCCAACATGGTGAAACCCCATCTCTCCTAAAAATACAAAAATTAGCCAGGTGTGGTGACTCATGCCTATAATCCCAGCTACTCAGGAGGCTGAGGCAGAAGAATCGCTTGAATCCTGGAGGTGGAGGTTGCAGTGAGCTGAGATCATGCCACTGCACTCCAGCTAGGTGACACAGCAAGACTCCGTCTCAAAAAAAAAAAAAAAAAAAAAAGGAGTTATGATAGCTGCATGCCTGTAATATATATCAGGCCTTGTAATATATCAGTGATATAACACCTGCCAGCATTGCAGTTGTGGAAGTCTTTTAGAACTTGGAGGCTATTTCTTTTTTTTCTTTTATATATATATATATATATATATATATATATTTTTTTTTTTTTTTTTTTTTTTTTTTTTGAGACGAAGTTTCGCTCTTGTTACCCAGGCTGGAGTGCAATGGCGCGATCTGGGCTCACCGCAACCTCCGCCTCCTGGGTTCAGACAATTCTCCTGCCTCAGCCTCCTGAGTAGCTGGGATTACAGGCACGTGCCACCATGCCCAGCTAATTTTTAGTATTTTTAGTAGAGACGGGGTTTCACCGTGTTGACCAGGATGGTCTCGATCTCTCGACCTCGTGATCCACCCGCCTCGGCCTCCCAAAGTGCTGGGATTACAGGCTTGAGCCACCGCGCCCGGCCTTTCTTTTATATTTTTTTGAGACAGGGTCTCACTCTGTCACCCAGCTCGAGTACAGTGCTGCAATCATAGCTATCTGAAGCATGGAACTCGTGAGCTCAAGCCATCCTCCTGCCTCAGCCTCTAAGTAGCTAAGACTATAGGCACACATCACCAGACCTGGCTAATTTTTAAAAAATATTTTTGTAGAGGTGGGGGGGGTCTCCCTATATTGCCCAGACTGGTTTCAAACTCCTGGCCTCAAGTGATCCTCCCACCTCAGACTCCCAAAGTGCTGGGATTGCAGGTGTGAGCCACTGCACCCAGCCCCCTTTTCTTTCTCTTAGCAAATAATTCATTTACCCCTAAGCCACAGACATTTTTTCTATGCTAGAATATTCTGTAACTCCATGTTGGACCTCCAAAGACTTCTCCATCACTTTACATAATAGAGTGAACTACAACTACAATGTCACATTTTGGCAACAGTGTTGTGCCACAGCCTGAATCTCTCTTAAGAGCAGAGCTTCTGCTTGCGTAAGATTGGAGCTCATATAGAGGGAGGTGTGGCTTAGGACCACATGCAGAGACTCCCCAGCCTCTTTGGAAGCAAGAAAAGGTGGGGGAGGGGAGGGCAGAAAGGAGGATGGGCAGACAGGTGCAGCCCTCAGCAGGTGCTCCGCCTTCACAGCTCAGCAGATGCAGCAGATAAAGAGCCCAGTGAAGAGTGTGGATGTGATTTAGAAGAGAATGGAATCACAACTTATAACATAGAAAGCAGTACGTACACTTTTCCTGCAAGGTTGTCAGTTTAAAAAGGAGCATGGTAAACTTGGATGAAAAATAAGTATAGATTTCTTAAGCTTTTATATTACTTTCACCCCATCCTCTCTTTCTTAATTCCTGAAATGTATATCAAGACTGTATATTTGAGTCTTTTTTACTCATCCATTCATTCATCCATTCATTTAATAAGCAGTTACTGAGCACCTGACATGTGCTAGGACTCTTCTAGGCATTGAGGATACAGCAGGAAACAAAAGAAAATCCTTGACTTTACAAAGTTCACATTCACAAGAAGAGCAGACAATAAGGAAATACACAACCTGTCAGGTGATATTAAGTGCTAAGACAAATGAAGCAGGGTGAGAGGGGTAAAGAGTAGCAGGGGAAGGAGCCTGCCATTTTATATGTGACAAATGTGATCTGTGAGCAGAGACATGATGGGGATTTGGGAGCAAGCTGTGAGGCCACCAGGAGGAGCAGCAGCCAAGGCACAGGGGAAGCGAAGCTGATTCCTCCGGGCCAGGATCACTTGGTCTACTTGAAAATAGCAAGGAGGCCAGAGTTGCTGGAGGACCCGAAGCAAGGGAGAGTGTTAAAATAGGAGATCAGAGAGAGAACAAAGGAAGGTGGGGGATGGGGACTGTTCATATTCAGGGGAAAAAGGAAACCACTAAGGGCTCTGGGCAGAAGAGTGTAGGAGCCTGACTTATGATTCAAACCAAATAGCTCCAGCTGCAATGGATGAAAAGGACTGAAGCAGGGAAACCCATGAGGGGATTATTGGAAAAACCCAGAGCAGAGTTGATGGGCCAGGGTGGTTAAGGTAGAAGTCAATTCTCTTCCTGGAACCCCTATTTCTACCTATTCCTTCTTCACTTTTTTCTTTTTTCTCCCTGTTCTTTACAGTGTGTAACCTTTTTTCTCCCTGAATCATAGAATTTGTATTTATATAGTTTTAAGGCTGACCAGGGGTTTTGTTCTGGATCTGTCATTATCTCTGACCTCCCTGCCATCCTATAAAGCTTGCTGAGTATGGGGCTGGGCTCAGATTATGATAACACTGTTCCAGGTTACACATTTAGAAGGCTCTGCCATGGATGGGAGAGGGGATCAGGAAGTCCTACGAAGGGGGACTCAAGGTCAGAGTCTTCCCTATTTCTGTTGATCAGGAAACTCAGCCATGAGCTTAGATCTAATATTGATCGTGTCCAGGATGCTCTGAAAATGTTTCTTTGTGGAAATTGCTCCCATCACTGGCAGTTCTACAGAGGGAAATTATACAGGAATGGAGAACTACAGCAAAGGCAGGAGGCATTGCCTGGATCATAGAATGTCAGTGCTGGGAGTGGCCATAGAGATCATATTAGGCTGGGACTAGACAAATCCAGGAGTCTCAACTACCAGGCCCATCTTTCCACTTACTATGCTGACTCTGCAAACAACAGGCAGCCCTTACTGGGAGAGCTGTAGAGATGCTTTTCAGTGTCTCTGTATTCATCCCATCACAGGATGTCTGGGTTTGCCTTTCAATCCTAAACAGTAATGAATCCTTTCTTTCTGTTTTCAACCCCAGGGGTTGCCCTGCTCTCAGATGTCTATCCTGAGAAAATCTTGCCGGACCTGTTGGCTCAATATGACAGCAGCAAAGACAAGCACACACCAGAGACCAGAATGAAGGTCGGGGAAATCCTAATGCGAATCGTCAGGGCGTTGGGTGAGTTTTCTTCTTCCATCCACCTGGAAAAGGGTGGAGGAGCAGTGTGACTTGGAACCAAAGTGTGTGTACCTGCGGGTTTGTTACACTAGCATGGTGAGGGTAGTGTGAGGGCTGGGATGAACTAGTACCCATTTAGAATTTAGGAAATGCCTAGATGCCCACTATGAAACTGAAAGCAGCAATATCCTTTTTCTTAAAACTGCTTTGTCTCTGGTGAGGTGTGGTGACTTATGCCTATAATCCCAGCACTTTGGGAGGCTGAGGCACGTGGATCACTTGAGGTCAGGAGTTGGAGACCAGCCTGGTCAACATGGTGAAACCTTGCCTCTACTAAAAATTCAAAATTAGCTGGGCATGGTGGTGCATGCCTATAGTCCCAGCTACTCGAGAGGCTGAGGCAGGAGAATTGCTTAAACCTGGGAGGTGGAGGTTGCGGTGAGCCAAGATTGTGCCACTGCACTCCAGCCTGGGCAACAGAACGAGACTCTGTTTCAAAAACAACAATCAGAAAAAAAAAAAAAAAAAAAAAAACTGCTTAGTCTCCTTCTCTCTGAGCTGTGTTGGGCCCTGATTTTTAATGGAGATGGAATGAGAAGTCCCACACTTGTTGAGCAGCAGCAAACACAAAAAGAAGAGGAATGTCAGGTGGGCACCGTGGCTCACACCTGTAATCTCAGCACTTTGGGAAGATCGCTTTAGGCCTGGCAGGAGTTCAAGACCAGCCTGGGTAACATGGCAAAAGCCCATCTCTACCGAAAATTAGCCAGGCGTGGTGGTACACGCTGTAGTCCCAGCTACTCAGGAGGCTGAGGTGGGAGGATCACCTGAGCCTGGGAGGTCGAGGCTGCAGTGAGGAGTGATTGTACCACTGCACTCCAGCCTGGGCAACAGAGCGAGACTCTCTCAGAATAAAGAAGAGGAATGTCAAGCAGGGAAGGAAGAGTGCTGACTCTTGTTGAATGTCTGCTGTGTGCTAGGTTATCCATATATATAATCTCATCTAATTTCCCAACAAATCTTATAAAGAGGCTGTTATCAAACCCTTCGTTTTATAGATGAATAAACTGTAGCTTAAACACCTTCAGCAATTTGTCCAAGACTCTTTCAGCTGGTAAGTGAATAGTGTTGAGAATTGAACCACCAACGTGAAGGAAGTTGCAATAGGCTGTATAAGCTGAGGGTAGTAGTTAAGGGATAGGCTCTAGACACACTTCCTCAGTTCAAATCCTGAACTGCTGCTGCATTTTTTTTTTTTTTTTGTAGAGGTAGAGTCTCACTATGTTTTCAGGCTAGTCTTAAACTCATGGGCACAAGTGATCCTCCCACCTCAGCCTCCCAAAGTGCTGGGATTATAAGCCTGAGCCATTGTGCCTGGCCTCTGAACTGCTTCTTATTGGCTGTGTGATCGAGGAAATGCTTCACTGACCAGCTGTGTGGTCAGGGAAATGTTTGTTTCTTTTTTCAAGACAGAATCTTACTCAGTTGCCCAGGCTGGAGAGCAGTGGCACATTCATGGCTCACTGTAGCCTCAACCTCCTGGGCTCAAGCAATTGTCCCTCATAGCTGGGAATACAGGCATGTGCCACTATGCTCAGCTAATTTTCTATTTTTTTGTAGAGACAGAGTCTCACTGTCTTGCCCAGGCTGGTCTCAAACTCCTGGACTTAAGCAGTCCTCCTGTCTCTGTGTTGTGCCCAACTGAGGGGAATGTTTCTTAACCTTGGGTCCTGAGTGTTCTAATGTGTAAAATGATTATATTATTGGTTTGGTTTTTGTTGTTGTTGTTGTTATTTTTGCAACAGGGTTTCCCTCTGTTGCTCACAATGGAGTTCAGTGGCACTGCCATGACTCACTGTAGCCTTGACTTCTGAGGCTATGATTCTTCTACCTCAGCCTTCTGAATTGCTGGGACTAGAGGTGCATGCTGCCACACCTGGCTAATTTTTTTTTTTTTTTTTTTTTTTTTTTTTGAGACGGAGTTTCGCTCTTGTTACCCAGGCTGGAGTGCAATGGCGCGATCTCGGCTCACCGCAACCTCCGCCTCCTGGGTTCAGGCAATTCTCCTGCCTCAGCCTCCTGAGTAGCTGGGATTACAGGCACACGCCACCATGCCCAGCTAATGTTTTGTATTTTTAGTAGAGACGGGGTTTCACCATGTTGACCAGGATGGTCTCGATCTCTCGACCTCGTGATCCACCCACCTCAGCCTCCCAAAGTGCTGGGATTACAGGCTTGAGCCACCGCGCCCGGCTTTAATTTTTGTATTTTTGTAGAAATGGGGGTTTCACCATGTTGCCCATGCTGATCTTGAACTCCTGGCCTCAAGCAGTCTTTGCCTCCCGTCTCAACCTCACAAAGTGCTGGGATTACAGGCATGAGCAGCTATGTCCAGCCAGAATGAGGATATTAGTAACACTTACTCCTAGGGCTGTTGTAAAGATTAAATACGGTAATTCTTACAGTGGTGTTTTACATACAATAAGGGTTAAGCAAAACTTTATTTTTCCCTACGTGACAAAGATTTAAAAAATTTTTTAAGATTAAAAATGAAGGAAAACAAATATTTTTTGCTGTTTATTGAATGCTCATATGGAGCTAGGAGGTGGGACCCTAGGGAACAAGGACAAAGGAAACAGTAGTTTATTCTTAAGAGAGAGGTTAAAGTAAGACTAATTTCTCCATAAGCCAGCAAGTACACTTTGGATTTTTTTTTTTTTTTGAGACGGAGTTTCGCTCTTGTTACCCAGGCTGGAGTGCAATGTCACGATCTTGGCTCACCGCAACCTCCACCTCCTGGGTTCAGGTAATTCTCCTGCCTCAGCCTCCTGAGTAGCTGGGATTACAGGCAAGCGCCACCATGCCCAGCTGGTTTTTTGTATTTTTAATAGAGACAGGGTTTCACCATGTTGACCAGGATGGTCTCGATCTCTTGACCTCGTGATCCACCCGCCTTGGCCTCCCAAAGTGCTGGGATTACAGGCGTGAGCCACCGTGCCTGGCTCACTTTGGATATTTTTATACTGGCTATATAACGAAGAATTGAGAGAAGATTCCTTTCTTTAACTTGTGCTTCATAGACTTAACCATTAACTGTCACACTGAATATCACTAGAAGCCTTAAAATAAGGCAAAACAATCTCTATATCATGCTAGTTCCCTAGCCACACCTTGTCTTCCTGCCAGTAGATCATGGTGCAAAATCAGCAGGAGCCTTTTTTCTTTCCATTAAAAAAAACTTAGGTATTACATATATACAGTAAAGTACATAAAGTATATGATTTTTTTTTCTTTTTGAGACAGGGACTTGTTCACTTGCCCAGGCTGGAGTGCAATGGTGCAATCATGGCACACTGCATCCTTGACTTCTCAGTCTCAGGTGATCTGCCTGCCTCTGCTTCCTGTGTAGCTAGGACCACAGGTGTGTGCCACCACACCCAGCTATTTATTATAAATTTTTATTTATTTATTTATTTATTTATTTATTTATTTATTTATTTTGAGACAGAGTTTCACTCTTGTTACCCAGGCTGGAGTGCAATGGCGTGATCTCGGCTCACCGCAATCTCCGCCTCCTGGGTTCAGGCAATTTTCCTACCTCAGCCTCCTGAATACCTGGGATTACAGGCACGTACTACCATGCCCAGCTGATTTTTTTTTGTATTTTTAGTAGAGATGGGGTTTCACCATGTTGACCAGGATGGTCTCGATCTCTTAACCTCGTGATCCACCCGTATTATAAATTTTTTATAGAGATGGGGTCTTACTATGTTACCCAGATAATCTCAAACTCCTGGGCTCAAGCGATCCTCCCACCTGCACCTCCCAGGGTGCTGAGATTAAGGCATAAACCACAGCACCCAGCCTGAATTATATGAATTTTTTTTTTCCTTGAGACAGAGTCTCACCCTGTCACCCAGCCTGGAGTGCAGTAGCACAATCTCAGCTCACTGCAACCTCCACCTCCCAGGTTCAAGCGATTCTCCAGGCTACAGCCTCCTGAGTAGCTAAGTGCCACCACATCCAGCTAATTTTTGTATTTTTAGTATAGATGGGGTTTCATCATGTTAGCCAGGCTAGTCTTGAACTCCTGACCTCAGGTGATCCACCTGCCTCTGCCTCACACAGTGCTGGGATTACAGGCATGAGCCACTGCGCCTGGCCAAGTATTTGAATTTTAAGAATATAGCTTTATGATTCTTTATTTACCACTACAAAGATCAATATAGTGAAACTTCTAGTAACTTCGAATAAAGTTTCCTTTCGTTCCTTCCTAATCTGTACCAGCCCCACAAGTAAGCACTATTCTGACTTTCTATCATCATTAATTTATTTTGATTGTTCTTGAACCTCATTTTAATGGAATTAAACCCACATGTTTTCACTAGGCTGAGAGATCTGTACACTTGTGTAGACCTGGGTCAAATTGTGGGGAGTAGAAGTACTTTATAGGTTGTGCTGTCTACTGCACTTCCCATTGCCTCACATCAGGAGGCACATCATGTGTGGTTTTCTCACTTTTGGTGATGTTGAGATTGAGCAGTGTTGTTTCCAGTAAGATACATCTGTTATAAACATCCCTGTCAACCTTCATCCTAATATGGTTTCAGTTTTTTGCTACTCTGAATTACTACTGAGATTAATATTTTTGTAGCCACATCTTTGTGTAGATTCATGATAATTTCCTAGGAAACATTTTTTTTTTTTTTTGAGACAGAGTCTCAAATTTATTTTTAGTAGAGATGGGGTTTCACCATGTTGGCCAGGATGGTCTTGATCTCCTGACCTTGTGATCCGCCTGCCTCAGCCTTTTTAAGTGCTGGGATTACAGGCGTGAGCCACCACGCCCTGCTCAGGAATATTTTTAAAGGTATTTATTACTAAACTGTTTTCTAGAAAGGTTGTGCCAGTTTACATTATCAATATTTGTCTCTACCCTCAAAAGTACTATATATTCTGTGTATTATTATTTAAAAAAAAATTTATCAAGAAGGTATCTG